TCATTTGCCCTCAGCCTCTCCCAGGAGTTTCTTCGCTACAGTACGTAATGATAAAAGATAAGCCACAGGTCTGAGTTGCTGTAAATCCCTTTGCTCTTGGCCTTTAATCTCTGCAAGTGGAATACAGCTATCTATTTTTATTTTTCTAATTTCATAATCTAAGTTACATTTCTAATTTTGGATTGAATCTGATTGATGCATTGGGAGTGTGAGTGTGGGGGGAGGTTGAGTTGGAAAATGCTAAGAAGATACTAATCTGTCCTTTCCTCCTCCACCCCCAAACAGTTATATATTAATATTTATTCAGTGGGGAACAGGTCCTGGTTTGGGAGCCAGCTTCTTGAGGGTCATCGAAAGACTCAGGCTTGGGAAGTAGACCTGGGAACTAGTGAACTCAAGGGGAGCTGTGTGTGCAAGGAGAGTGACTCAGCAGGATTATTCACATCTACAAAGAGATAGCAGTTCTTCCTTTAAACCAGGGCTCACTTTGCTATGCAAGCATCCTGCCCAGTTAGCACAGAATGGAGCTTGGACCCTCACCAGAGTTGAACAAGAGAGAAACTTTCTAGCTTAGCTTTCTGCTTGGATATTTTTGTGTACAATTTTGGTAGCAGATGGCTTCCCAGATTTTCCTTTAGTAAGATATTTAGATTCTAAAGAAAGATACATAATGAATATAATGTTATAAAACATTATAGTTATAAAATATTAATGTTATAAAATGTAATAGTTATAAAATATTTCATGTAGGACTTTACAGTGGTTTTTTTAATCTATCACTTTTGAATGAATCCACTTAGTAATGTCATTCTATTCTGATAATTTGACAAACCGGTAGGATAAGGAAGTAGCCGTATAGTCTGGAAACACATGGGCAATTAGTGGTGCAGGCAGAATGAGAACCCAATGTTCCTTTATTTTTGTGCTTGATGTGGTAAAGTCTCTGCCTGTCCCAGAGAGCTCACATTGTGCACTGTTATAGGTGGATCAGCAGGACACAGTAAATTGAGATTCCCAGTTCCGTTTCTGGCTTTGCAATATTTTCATTGGTGTTTTGGGTTCATCATTTCCATTCTTCAGAATTCCATCTCTCCTCTTATGGAAAAAAAAAAAAAAAGGTGGTAATTTCTGTCCCCTCCTCCCCTCCTTTGTCAGGGTGGAGGTGGCGGTTAGAAGCACACCGAGCTCCACAGAGAAAGATGCTTTGGAAGCATTAGAGCAATTTAGCACCTTCTTCTGAGAATCATAGACAGAGGCTAGAAGGCCAGGGGTAGTTGCCAACTCGCAGGGCATCTTGCAGCCAAAGTGGGCACAAATAGGACACAAGACCCCACAGGAACTCGGGCTAGAACTAAAGCTAGAACCCCCAGGTCCCAGACTGCTTTGCTCTGTGTCTAGGCCGTTTAGGAATTCTGCAGGAGCTGGAAGAGTCAGGAATTAATCAGCTTCCAGTTCTCCAGGAGGAATAGGCCAGGCCTCTGCTATAGGGTTTGGCTCTCAACTTCTCTTTCATAGCACTCACTTGTCATGTTTCATTGTAACTACTTAATGTCTCTTCCCCATTAGACTGTAAACTCTAGGAAGTTAGCGCTAGCACAGTACCTGTGTATAGCAGATGTTTGCTGAAGATTTACTGAATCGATGACTAAATGAACGAATGAAAGGATGAAGATTATTCCCTAGGCAAAAAAAATTGACCATGCCCTGTCCTAGAGCTGCCGTCCTGATGATCCCTTGTCTATGAGTGTTAAGTACCACTTTCCTTTCCAAAGGCCTTTACACCTTCAGATCTATCAGGCCCAATTCAATCTTCTTAAAATACTTGGTACTCTTCTGGGAGTGCGGGCCCCCGGGGACACAGGCATTACCAAGGTGTGCCGGTGCTGGTCGCAGTGACAGTGAAGCCGTGGGACACCGTGGCAGCACTCCCGGGCCCACTGCTTGTCAACCTGCATTATCCCTGCTCTGCTCTCTCCCAGGCCCGGATAATAAGAGGATGGCCAGGAATGTCTTGAAATATGAAAAGCTCCTGGCAGAGAGCGCCAACCAGGCCGTCACGGAGGCTGTCATCCAGAGGCCCAATGTGCCCCACCTGCAGACCAGAGCCACCTATGAGGGGTTGTGTCAGACCCTGGGCTCCCAGGTAGGATTTTTCAGAGAAAGAGAAAAGGGGAACCGCTTGGCTATCGAGAGAGTAGAATGGGGCAATGTGAGGGAAAAGGCTAGAAAAATTCAGTTTAAGAAAAAACAACAACACTCACTTGACAGCATCAGTGACCGCATCCGGAATCGCCCACAGTCCACTGTTTTTATGTGTCGTTCCCCCAAATTCGTGCCAGCTCCTAGACCCTTTCCCCATATGCCGACTCCAGCCTTTCCTTCCAGCCTACTCACTACCAGATCCCGAGCCTCCACTGCTCCTACGAGACCAATTCCAGTCCCTACCTGCTGCTGCAGCCCGTCCGGAAGGAGGTCATCCACCTGGAGCCCGATGTTGTTCTCTACCATGACTTCGTCAGTGACTTGGAGGCTCAGAAAATTAGAGGGCTGGCAGAACCGTGGGTGAGTGTCCCCAACGCTTGCCAAGAACTTCCTTCTGTGCCTTCACAGGCCTGGAGCTCAGGAGTGTGAGAACAGACAGCCTGAGCAGCTACACCTGTCAAAAAAATACAACTGATCAATGGTGCAAAAATATCCCAGTAGTGGTTGCCTCTGGAGGGAGGGGATTGGCTGGGGAAAGGTTCAAGGGATTTTCTGGGGTGTTGAAATGTGCTCTCAGTATCTTCTTAGGGATATGGAGTCCACAGCTATAGGCATTTGTCAAAGCTCACCAAATAGTATACTCCAGTTCTGTGTGTTTCATTGTATATCAATTTAGAAAAAAAAAAAGGTATCCTCCCAAAATGTCCATCATTCTATGTAATTGGTAAAAGAAAAAAGGGGTGAAATGACAGGGTCAAGAGTGATATCCTGGTCCAGATCTACAGACTGACAGAGTGGAGAGATGATCCAGGTCAGCTTTATTATTTTGTTAAGGGGGAAACAGGCCCAGAGAAGAGAAGGGACCTGATTAAGGTCCCCCCTGAAGCTAGAGCCAGAACAGGAACTGAGAGGGGCGGTGATGGTCACGCGGCTCGCCCCCCGCCTGGCACCAGTTCTCTCAGGCTAAGTTACATTCGCCAGCAAGCAGACTGACATCTCCGGGACAGCAGACCAGTCTGCCTCTCTCTCCCCTTACATGTCAGTGGTGGGCTGGCTGAGCTCCGCCCCGCTGTCTTCACTCAGACCCAGCCTGCAGAGCAGCCTCTGTTTGGGACATTGCCAGTCTCCTGGGAGAGGAAACAGACCGAGATGGCAGACTACTAGCTGGCTCTTAGAGCTTCTGCTTGGGCGTGTCAGACGTTCCTTCTGTTCACATTTCGTTGGTGAAAGCAGCGCTGAGAGAGAGAATATTGGAGTCTCCCACGGGGAAGGCACTGCACGTCGCTGTGCCAAGCTCGACGTCGGTGTAGAGGGGACGTTTAGTTGTTGCCCAGAAAAATGTGGCAAATATTTAGGGAAATTATAATACAGTCTCCATCTCCACTCTAACATGTTGTGCCTTTTTACAAACGGCCCATGACCTGACTCAGCAGTACTCACATGAGGGTGCCCGTCGTGGTGTGCTGTTCACGCAGCACCCGTTACTCACTAGTCGGGAGACGGAGCCTACTGTGTGCCCACACGCTGACACGCCGACAGGCTGACACGCTGCAGGGGGCTGGCTCCCGCAGAGAGGTGAAGTATGGGTCCTTCCCCTTTAGGGACGCGCTGCATAACGGGGAAATAGAGATCTACAATATACTGTGCTGTGTGCTGTCGGAGAGGTGTGTGCAGGGAGCTGTGTGATGGCAACATAGGAAGCGAACCTCCCGCTGAGGGAAAGGCAGTTGGGTGAGGAGTAGCTGAGGGAAGAGGAAGAAACAGAGAGGGCTTCCCCGTGGACGTGAAATTCATCACAGTGACCAGATGGCAGAGCATATTCCAAAGACAAAGCAGTCTGTGCAAAGACCTGAGGTGCAGTGTGTTCAGGGAGTGGGGGAAGCTCCGTGGCTGGTGTGGTGGAAGTGAGGCTGCCCACGGAGGCAGCATCAGAGGCTATAAAGACCACGGGGATGTGGATTCTATCCCGGAGGCAGGGGGAGAGCTGTCAGACAGGAGGGTGGCGAGATCGGGACTGCAGATTGTAAGGAGGATTCTGACGGCAGGCATGGACTGGAGGGGAGAAGAGCAGCGATAATCATTTCACCTACAAGCCCATCCAGTGAAGTATAGAATCTTTGTAGAGAAGGTGTTTGAGATGACTAAGCTCCACCGGGGAGCTGAGTGATGTATTTTCAGTAGCTTTGGCTTCTCAGGGAGCCAGCAGGAGCAGTTGGCCAGCAGCTACTTTTTCCTGAGAACAGCTCTGTTGCCGTAGTAACAGGACAGAAGGCTCATCCGGAGATAGGCACTTAATCCCTCATGGCCAGGTCATCTATGTAGCTTGCCAAACCTTGCCACACTCCCTGTCCCCCAGAAGTGTCTTGCTGGGTGGCTGATCCCTGTCTGGTCTTTGGTTTTGCCAGCAATAAGCCCTGTTTGTGTGGTGGCGGCTGCCCCACGGGAGCTGAGCACAGACGCCTCAGAGGCTTGTGTTGAGTTTATCTGCTTCCTAGTCACTGTACCTTTACCAAAGAATGCTCTCGCTTCCCCCTATACCTCCCCCATCACACACACACACACAAACACATCCACATTCTAACCAAACTTAAAGGCTCGGTTGAAACCCCTCACCTCCATTGACCCACTGAGCCCTGACCACTTTCATTAGTTCTTTCAATAGAAACATTTTTTCAGAGTACTTTTGTGGGGGCAACATACCATAATCTCTCCCTCTTCTGAACTGAAAGCTTTGCCACTAGTTGTTTGGTACTTTCCCTTTTTCTGCCATTTATATGTTGTCTGGTATCACTAAAAGTTTCATGAGTGAGCATCCTGTCCCCCCAATGAGACTGTCAACTAGCTGGGATCATACATTGTCCTTCTTGAAATGCCTCGCCCTGTATCATACAGGTTGCAACCAAAGTGACCTTTAAAAGGTTGAATCTGACCATGATAAGCCCTTGCTTAAACTCTCTAATGGGTTACTTTTGCTTTTGAATGATTACCAGCACCTTGGCCTGGCTGCTGCCAACCCCTTCTGTAGCATGCCCCCCTTGCACGCTACTCCCCAACTGCACTGAACTTGCAACCCCAGGCAGGGGTCATACTCTCACCAGCCTCCACACACACTCTGCTTTCTGCCTGAAACGCTCTTGCCTTGGCTTCTTTTCACCTGCACGATTCCTGTTGCCTTTGGGGGCATCCTGGGAAGCCTTTCTGTCCCCATAAGAATGGCCCAGATGCTCCTTCTCAGTATTTCCATAGCATCCTGTACTTGCCCCTGAGGGCACCATTGCGTGACTTACATCTGGTTTCATATGTTGTATTTCCAACGCCTAGCAGTGTTTTGCACAGAGAACAACTAATAAATATTTGTCCCCTAAGATGAATGATTTGTAGATGTACAATAAGTAATCGTTAAAGGAACGCAGTGCAAAGTGATTCCTTAATAGTGGGGGTGGGAAAGCAGAGATTCTCTAGGATTTTTTTTTTTTTAATCACTGCTGTTGCCCTAAAAGAACAGGAGGGCACATCTCTCCTCTTCAATGAACAACTTCAGAGAGGATGCTGGGAACAACTGGTGGGGGATTAGGTAGAGCAGTGGTTCTCAACCTTCTGGCCCTTTAAATACAGCTCCTCATGTTGTGACCCAACCGTAAAATTATTTTCGTTGCTACTTCATAACTGTAATGTTGCTACTGTTATGAATCGTAATGTAAATATCTGCTATGCAGGATGGTCTTAGGCGACCCCTGTGAAAGGGTCGTTCGACTGCCAAAGGGGTCGCGACCCACAGGTTGAGAACTGCTGAGGTAGAGGCACTATCCATCACCCACTGACTTCCTGCATCCTGATATTGACAGGAACTCCCAAGCATGTCTCGTTCCCATGCTGCAGTTTGTGGCTGGGGAAACGGGTCCAAGGAAAGGAAGAGGCTTTTCCAAGGGCATCCACCTGGTTTAAGAGCAGGAACAATAACATAGAAGCCTCCGGGAAGGAATAGGGTTTTTGTCTTGTGCAGGTCATTGCCCCGAGTTCTGCTCTGACTGCACGTAAAGTGCCAGGGCTGGGCCTTTAGACAGCACTCTGCTCATCTCCCCAGTACTGAGCACCCACTCCCTGCCAGGCCCTCTCTGGGCCCTGGGGGTATAGCACCGACAGGAGACCAAGTCCTTGCCCTCATGAAGCTGACATTCTGATGACAGATGCAGAAGAAAATGCATCATCATAAAAATAAACATTTTTCTTTCTATCTCTGGTACAGTGCTTTTGCAATTAGAACCCCCTTTATTTGAAAATAATGTTGCCCTGGCTGGTCTGTGTGGCTCAGTTGGAGCCTAGTACCATACACCAAAAGTGGTAGGTTTGATTTCCAGGCAGGGCACATATTCAGGTTGTGGGTTCGATCCCCATATCACATCACATCAATGTTTCTCTCTCTCTCTCTCTCTCACTTTCAAAATCAGCATAAAACATAATGTAGCCATAGCTGGTTTGGCTCAGTGGATAAAGTGTTGGCCCATGGACTGAAGGGTCCCAGGTTTGATTCCAGTCAAGGGCACATACCTCTTGCAGGCTCCTCCCTGGCCCTGATAGGGAGAGAGGGGGGCTCATTCAGGAAGCAACTAATCAGTGTGTCTCTCTCACATCAATGTTTCTTGCTCTCTCTCCATCTCTCCCCTTCCCTCCCTTCCACGGTCTCTAAAAATCAATGGAAAATTATCCTCAGGTGAGTATTAACAAAAAATAAAAATAAATAATGTAAATTTTATGTCCAAACATTCAGTTAAATTAGTGACTTCAAACCTGTATGGTCCCCACTCCCCCGAGTCAGGGCAGTTGTAGCAAACAGATTTTGGTTCCCTGTAAGGAAGGGCCTTTATTAGAGTTGTTCGGAAGGAATAGGCTGCTGCTGAAGGTAGAAAGTTTCCTTCTACTAGAGGTGTTCATTTAATTCAACAAACAGGAAGTGCTTACCGTCGGGCAGGCCCTGTGCCAGACATTGGGATACAAATTGGAATGAGAAACAGTTCTTTTTCTTACAGAACTCACAGCCGTGTGGATGCAAAAGGGATTAGACTATCACTGTGTTTCCGTTCAACAGACCTTTATTGGGTGCTTATTGTCTACCAGACTCAGTGTTAAAGATTATTTCAGCTCTGAGATTTTTGTCACTTCTTATTTTCAAGATCGGTAGCTATTCCTAAATTAGTATCCTGTGCAAAAATATCCTTTAATTGGGAGGAACTGGTGATTGTTAAGTTTATGCTTGGGGCTGGGGGGAGAGCATGTCAATGGAAATGACGGAGCTCTTCCCTCTGCATCATAAGCACTTGGACTTTCTCTTATGTTCTTCCCGTCAGCTGCAGAGATCTGTGGTGGCGTCCGGTGAAAAGCAGTTACCCGTGGAGTACCGCATTAGCAAAAGGTAAGAGGGTCCTTCCTTGTCGGGACCTCTGGCCATACCTGCCGCCTGCCTTCTGGCCAGCGGCTCAGCTGATGAAGGCCAGCAGCAGCCCTTCGGTGCCATTGGAGATGCTGCCGGGAGAACCTCTAGTTGGTGTTGATACCTGTACGTTCTTGTTGAGCAGGAGACATGGCCCCTCCCCTGCCCCAAAGGCCTCTCACAGGTCGTTATATGGTCCGAGGACTTAACTAGGAGCCGTAGGGAAACACTTGAAAAAGCTCCTTTGCCCTAACCAAAAAAATAAGTGTGTAGTTAGTTGCTCTAACCAGGATTGCTTTTCCAGAGAATACGGTCCCGTCCCTCTTTGTAATTTGACTTTCCAAGATTCCATTCCCACCTCCTGACTCATATTCGAAGCATGACTTGCCAGCGTTCAGGCAGGAAGGATGACTGGGATCTCTGGACATGAAGGCTTCGCTAGAGGGGCAGATTCAGCTGCCAGAGCCCAGCCGATCCCCTCATCCCACCCCTGTCCCCCCACCCCCACTGCAGCGCCTTGTTTATACTTTAAGGACAAGACTGATGATACAGTAAGAGGGTCCCCATCGCAGCCATGGAGATGAGATGACACATCCTTGGGGAGAGGCCAGACCTCAGGCTGGGTGGATAGTTTTTGCTGTCTGGGAAGTGAGGTGAGGGATTGGGTCTGGTCCCTTTAGGAATCTTTCACATTAGGAATTATCCTCTAAGCTTTGGAAGACACATATGACCTCAGCTTCATTGCTTTTCTAACCTTTCTGACATTCCGGTGTCAACGAGAAAATTAATCTTTAGGGCAGTAGGTCTTCTCTTTACTTTTCAGGTAAAGAAACTGAGGTGCTCGTTACCTCTTCTTCCTTCCCATCCCTCTGCCTCCCTTGGAACTCGGGTTCTGTCCTCACAACGTCACTGTAACTGGTCTCTCAAAGGTCACCATTGAACTCCTGTTTGCCAAGTCATTTTCCTCCCACAAACTTCACTGACCATCCATTACCCACAAAGTGAAGACCAGGTTTCTGAACACGGTGTCCATCTTGTTCTCCAACATGCCCTAAGCCTGTTGGTTCAGCATTGTCTCATATTGTTTTCACTTCTGTACACTCTATTGTCACCCCTCCATGTCTGTACTTACGCTGTTTCTTCATCCTGGAATACCCCTATGTCTTTTCTATCTCTTAACTTTTATGCACCCTTTAAAATTTGGCCTGCTTGTCACCATCTCACCGCAGTGCCCTAGTCAGAATGATGTCTTCTTCCTCTACGCTCCCCAGCACTTTACTGTAAAGACTGGTCCTCATTTTTTCACTCTACCTTGATCTGTACTCAGTTACACTTGTGTATCTTCTCTCATGAGCTTTTTGGTGCAACAGCTTTGTCTTGAGTATCTTTTAAACCTAAGAGCACATAGCACAGTACTTCCCTTGCACTCACTTCCTTGGGACCTACATTCTGATCCCAAATCCTCCACTTTATCAGAACCTCAACAAGACATTCAGGAAAAGAGACTGAACTTTGCTCTTTAGCCTTTGACCTATCCTGGTTTGTCTTGGAGTGGGACAGAAGAGCAGAGATTGTTCTGGGTTTTACTGCAATCACTCACATGCAGCTTACAAATCATCTTCTTATGCATTGACTCTCACAATCTTCCTAAGTTTATGAAGTAGATATTATCATCATCCCCATTATATAGATGAGTACAGTGAGCCTTAGAGAGGTTAAAGGTTAAGTGCCTGACATAAGGTCACACAGAGGATCAGGGACTGCCCTTACTACTTCGAATCCAAAGCTTTTCCCATTGCATGCAGCTGTTGACATGTCTCTGAAACATAGCAGTTTTAAAGGCAGGGTTTTGTCTTTTTCCTCTTTGTATCCCAGCTCCTCATGCTTTGAGCATTCTTCAACCTTCACAGCACCACAGGGACTGGCATTCAGTGTTTGTTGAATGAATGAATGTGTGGATGTTGAGGTGGAGCATAATAGACTCAGCATGAGGAGCAAGTAGGTAATTAGGCATCTACATCTATCTTCCTGTCTTCCTTCCTCCTGCAGTTGACATCTCTCATTCATTCATTCACAGATATTTACTACTAATAGCTTCTGGCATAAGATCAGTAATGCTCCAACCTGTGGTTTGTTTTAGTGCCTGGCTGAAGGACACCGTTGACCCAGTGCTGGTCACCCTTGACCATCGCATTGCTGCCCTCACAGGCCTTGATGTCCAGCCTCCCTACGCCGAGTATCTCCAGGTGGTGAACTATGGAATCGGAGGGCACTATGAGCCTCACTTTGACCATGCTACGGTAACTACGGGCTCAGTGACCATCTCCTGGGGTGGAGAACCAAAGTGTCATTTATTTCTCTGAGGCAGCGCTCTTACAGGACTCCCATGGAAAACTAAGTGAAGGTTCTTGTTCCAGGAAGATCTGAAAGCCTTGGTTTCAGGCTCATTTCTGGTAACCCATTTTCTTATATCCAACATCCACCTCTCCATCATTTGCTAGTGGGGAGAAGAATGTGGCCTGTCAGTCTTCTATCTTGCTTCACTCGAGCACTTTCCAGGGAAGATTGTCCTTCCTCCAATCACTCTCTTTATCTACATATTTTATGATTCTATTTATTTTTTTTATTTTGAAAAGGCAAAACTA